ATAAGGCTGTCCTGGGCCTGATTCAAATTTTATTTTTATAATTTAATATTACCCATTGCAATTATAAAATAAGAACAACTTTTGATAATTAGAAATGTATTTATTGACAGATATAAAAAATTAAATACATACATATAACCTAAATAAATGAATTACAATGCAATATTTGAACATCATTTGACAATAATAACAAAAATAAAAATGAAATACATAATATATAAATAATATAATAGAATAAATAAAAACGTAAAATAAATACAACTTTGTAAGACTTTGTTACTAGCCCTTTAGCGTTACCCAGGATGCACCACGAGGAGGCGAACTAGATTTGCATCCCTTAATTTAAAAACATCCAGGAAGAGAAGATATTATTACTATTATGGTAGATTTTAAATGAATAACAATATATATTAAAAAAAATTAGACATTAAAAAAAGATTACCATCGAATTACGTTACATTCCACATTAAAAATAATTATATCTTTTCTTCCATACAAAATTCAGCCTGCAAAAATTTATTGAAACATTACAAAAAACTACAATGCGCGTATATAAGTTATGTTAGCTTCTTAATACAACCAATTCAACTATAAATTTAAAGTTTATCTACTATATGTACATTAATTACTACATTATACTAATATCACAAAAAAAACTAAAGTACGAAGAAGACTAGAAGATAGAATATGCATTGATTCAGTACGTATTTACTATTTACAGTACGATTACTAATACTATTAAAGCTTTTATGGCACCAAAGTAAAAGTGAATTAACAATTCTAAAAACCAAATATTACAGTTATATCACAGAATATGTTTCAATTAACAGAGTCTATATTACTACATTCTACTTTATATCTACTTACTCTGTTGATAACTACGAGGAAATAAATAAATTTTACATTCAAAATAACTACTACTACATAAAAATCAAAAATCACAGTAATATCACAGAAGTTCCTGCTAGATAATATTTGTTATACATAAAATTTAAATAGAAAAATAATATATAACTGATACTTGTTTTAGTAAAATTGGTTATAAAAGAAGCTAATATAAATTATGAAGTACGAAGACTACGGAGTACGAAGTAGAAAGACTAGGGAGTAGGAAGTATGAAGTGTCAGATCCCTCAGCTCGCAGGGTCTACAGCTTCTAATTCTTGTAGAGCTAACTAAAACAGAAAAAATATGAGCAGCATCGAATTCAGGAAAATAATAAAAATAGTGAGAATTACTTAGTTGCAGCCATTTCCCGATAAAATTTTTTAATTATCATTGGTACAATGACTCCAACAAGTTGACAAAAGACATCTGATTTATGATCTTTGCAAGAAAACCATTCAAAATCAACAAGTTCATGAATATACATTACAAATTTATTTACGATATCATTTATATGCCTTACAAGAGGTAATACCTTATATATAATATCGTAAATTTTTGCTACAAATATTACCAAATTTCTATTTGCATAAGTCAGACGCCTTTTCTCATCGTTCTCTTTAAAATGTGTAAAAATATGTTGCAAATTTAAAACATCACTTTTTAAATTATTTAGACACTCAGTACAATTTATTGACTTTATTTTTTTTACAAAGAAACCTGAAACATATGAAGTTACCTGAGTGTCAAAAATAGAATCCCTCAGTTCTATATTTTCAAAATTTAAATTTAAATCATCAATTTCATTAATAGAGGCAGACGATTTCTCAGGCTCGATTTCTGAATTTAAAAATGAATGTAAATTGTCTAAAATACTACTGTCATCTGCCTCGCAATTAGTACTAACATTTTTCCCTGATATCAAGCTATTGCACATTGCAGTTTTTAATGCTGAAACGAACTGGTAACAATTTGGGGCCATATTAGCAGCTCCATACTGTCGAATAGCACCGAACATATTTTCAACGGGATCCTGATTCAAGGATCTAGTCCTCAAAAACTTGAATCCTAGTCTCCAACACTCTTGAGTCAACAATTTAACACCTCTAATAGTATGTAACCAACAAGATTTAAAAGGCATTGATTTTTTCATCGGCTTTCCGTTTTTCGGTAAAAACTCCCATGATTCAATAATTGGTAACATTCTGTCCCAAAATTGAACATGAGAAGATTTCCTAGTAACGCATCGCCTCAAATCTTTACCACCTTCACTTGTCAGACTTCTACCATTGAAACTGTCAAACAATTGATCAATATCTGATACAAATTCAGCAGTATGAATAGCTTGTTCGGGAAGTAAATTGCAAGTTACTAAACTTTCAATTGTGGCAGCCATAGTGTGACTCATTACCTTAGCAGCAACAGAAACCTTCATTTTTAATTTAGGATTCTTATTCAAATCAAAAAATTTATCTTTAAATCGTTTAAATGTAAGAAAGCATGTTGCAAACAGGGCCACGCTGTTTCGAAAAACACATGGTTTGAAAATGCTCACCTCCAACCACACGAGTTAGCCTGGGTGATGTATGGCTTCGCTCAGGATTGGCCTCATGAGATGGTTCGCAACGAGTGCGTTGATTTGGAGGTCCCTGATGATCAACTCACTGAGCTTAGCTCAGCGACCATCCACTTTTGGTGAGTTCGACTATTTTATTTTGTAACCGTTTTTCGCTGCTTCCCGAATAGGATTACAAGTGGCGCGTCTCGGTGTCTTCGGTCGGTTTCTCGGGCGCCAGATTTTTGGTGGTTTACTCCACTTACCTTCAGGTTCGGTGTTGAAGGGCCTAGGTAACTACAGATGGAGATAGTACTTCCAGGGGTCGAAATGTTAGAGACTACACTTAAGCGGTTATCAAGAAATAAGTTTTAATTATTTCAAGACAAGAGTACGGAAGGAACTATAGTAGTTTTGTTATTTACTCATACAAAGTACAGTTTGTAATATTGAAGCAGTAAAATACACCAGATAGGATTTCACGATTAAATTACAAAATAAATATACAGGTTTTTTCCCAAGTAACATTTTAAGCTTTATAAAAGCAGTAAGAACGTTTACAGAGCTAGAAAAATTTAAATCGAGCTTTATTATTAAGCTCTGAGAACACTCTTACAGCGTCTTTAAAATGCTTATAGAATGGATTTGGCGCGCCTTAAAAAGCTACTTTATAAATACTATTAGCTATATAATACTTTTATAAGTGATTTTGTTTATCGTAACAAAGTTATTATAAAAGCTTTATAAAGTATAGTGTCGGCTTTGTAAAAACTTTATAATGGTATTTGGTGATCTTAACAAAGTTATTACAAAGCTCTTATAAAATATAAGTTAAAACATTTATGCTGCAGACAGAACGTTTATAAAGTCACTTTATAAGCATTTTTTAAAAGCTCTAAAAGAACTCTTATAGCAGTTATTAGAAAACTATTCAGTTTTAAATATGTTGCTGGATTTGCAGTTACAAAGCTGAAAACCTTTTTAAATATTTTTTAAATATTTTATTATAAATTACTTGTTATATGTTCTGTTTGGACAGATGTTATATATTTTCATGACGCATCTTCTATGCCTATGTTTTATATTATTGGACATCCATATGAATATATTTATGTTATGGTTTATGAAGACTACAATGTACAAAAGTTACAACAAAAGAAAAATTATTGTGAATAATGTTGGTTGTAGGCCTAAAAATTATGCAGCCCCGTAGATTTATTGAGTTTTTTGGCTTTAAGGAAAATTAACCGGTAGTTCAAGGTGGCTTCTAAACAAAAATAAACACTTAAAAAAGAATAATAATTGATTAAGAAATACGTCGAAAGCATTTATTTTTCAAAAATTTTAAATATTTACTTAGAATTACTACAAAAAAAAATATATTCCAAAATGGCGGTTTGCTTGTCTTCTAATTTTAAGTGAAATTACAAAACAATATGGAGTCAAATATAATACAACACTTAAGCTCCTCAAAAGTCTTTATAAAATGAATATGTTTTATAGTAGCTGTATACGGAATTAATTAACTTTATAATGACAATGTGGCGTACTATTATGGAGCTTAACAGCTTTGTAAATTTTTCAGTTTACAGCGTTGCCGATTATGATACGATAAAGTTCGTATTTAATGCCAACAAATTAATTTATTACGAATTCAAACATCAACAACTCTTTTCTTCAGACTTGGATGTCTTTTCCCAGATAACAATTTAAGCTTGTAGCAAGCTTACGTTAACCTTGTCACGACACGGTTTGTACCCTTGTTGCAACCCAGGGTGCAAGGTTGTAAAAAGGTTTTGACAACCTTCCTAGTCAACATGTTAGAGGCTTGCTTTAAGGTTGTCATGACAAGGTTACTACGAAAAGGTTATGGCAAGCTTTTGAAAACCTTGCGTAAAGCTTATGAAAAGCTGGCCACAAGGTAACGACGACGCTATGTAATGGTTACGACAAGCTTATGAAAAGGTTGCATAAATATTATTAATAAAAGCTCAAGGCAAGCTTATGAAAAGGTTATGACAAGCTTGTGAAAAGGTTGTAACAATGTTACTTAAAAGGCTACGACAAGCTTTTAGTAATGTTTTTTAAAAACGTTCTTGACAAGCATAAGTAAAGGTTATGACAAGCTTGTGAAAAGGTTATAACAACGGTATGGAAAGGCTACGACAAGCTTTTAGCAATGTTCTTGAAATAGGTTTACGACAAGCTAATGAAAATGTTATTACAAGCTTGTGAAAAGTTTTTAATAAATCGAGATAATCGTTCATAATAAATTTAAAATAAATATTTTTTGCAAAGGTCAAAATATTAAAAATAGAAATATTATATAATTATTAATAATTATTTTTATTTTCTAATTGATACAAATACGAATTATAAATATAAAAGTATATTAAAATAAAAAAATATAATACAAAAAAACTTAAAAATATAAATAATACTAAGAATACTAAAATATCATGAATATATACAAAATTTACAAAACTTAAACTATACAAATATAAAACATTTTAAATTAAAAAATAAAAATATACAAAAAAAACATATAAAAATAAATATTCTAATTGGTAGTCTTATTTTGACGGGCCTCCCTGTAAAAAAAATGTTATTATAGTGATGTAAGTACGGCAAGGATAAAAAATCAAATAAACCATACCTTCGGCTTAGACGAAATTTCGCCTGCATTAGCCATTCGCTAATCGCATCTCTTATGGCCAATTCTTTTGTGCCTTCAAAACATTGAAGGCACGTTTCTGCAAAAAAATGGATATGTTAATTGTCTATATAATTTGAGTAATGCATACAGGTTGATTTATTTCAGTTTGCAATAAAGATAATATACACCGTGTTGGAAAAATTTTCGCGCATAATAGGGAAATCAATGTTAAATTCTTAGCCGGCTAAAATCCAGTCTACCAGTATACATTTCAATAGAACGTCGCGATGAATTCTAATAAATTTAATTGTTCTACTGGATCGCACGCCGCGATTTGTAGAGGTACAAAGTTATTTGTGTTAGGTATGAGGTACAAAATTATTTAGAAACTACAATTAATAGGTTTTTTGGGGATATTTCAAAAAAATGTGTGTATCGGTAGGTACAGTTATGAAATAGCAACAAATCTTGTTAAAATAAGGAAAATTAAGGAAAAAATAATTCAATTTTCTGCTAAAATTACACCTCAGCTCAGTAATATGAGATGACATCTGTATGACAGGTTTGCCTATAGTTTAGCAGAAAGCGGTGGACTATTTTTTAGAGTTCTTTTATTTTCTATTTTAAAATAATCTTTAAGTTTATTTTTGGAGTATTCTTTTTATTATTTTCTTAGAATTTACTTTCTTTTTCAAGCCATTGTGGCAAAAAGACATATCTACATAATTCTATTTTATTATTAGTGATATTTTTTCAATAAATTATCGTTTAAAAATTCTCAATTCTTTGTAATCGACTCGACGTTCACCCATCCGAACCCGTTTTGATACTGTTGAAGTGTTGAAACCGTCGAAATTATTTGATTTTTAATCTAACCAAGCCAAAGCGCGGTGTGAAGTCCAGTAGAACAATTAAATTTATTAGAATTGATCGCGACGTTCTATTGAAATGTACACTGGTAGATTGGATTTCAGCCGGCTAAGAATTTAACATTGATTTCCCTATTATGCGCGAAAAATTTTCCAACACGGTATATACATAGGCTATATGAAAAAGAAAGAGTGGTAAGTATTGTGTCTTATAGCAACTTATCACTCTAACAACTGTAATTTTAGTAATCTTTCTTTGTTTAATCCACCGAAATTACCATATGGTAATATATACCATATGCAATATATATTGCAAACTGACATGCATCACAAGGTATAATGAAATTTGATATAATCACTTACCCATTATAAACGACAATAATGGCAATTGTTCGAACGGCCTCTTTTTTCCTCTTCCCGTGAGGGAATACTCCACCGCTAAAGTATCCCCCACGGTCTTTCTCAAAATTGTCAATGTTAGCGCCCGCCCGTCCCTCCCACCGGAACATAATAAAATTTTGGACTAGAATAAAACAAATTAGTCATTAATTTTAGGGACAAATAATTGGAAATAATTTGGAAGTAGGTATACGAGCTTATACAAGTAATACCTAATAAGTATAGAAAGTAAGTAATACTTACAAGACTTTTTTTGAACGACACTCTTTTCAAACTATCGTTCAATTTCGAAAATGTCTCTAAATTAGATGCTGGCAATTCTGCAAAGATATCGCTGCCGTCATCCTCCTTGTTGGAAGAATTGCTTTGCAGCATTGCCATCATCATAATTTGTTTATTTTCGATTGCCTCCAGCTTTGTCATTATGCCAGTTATCGCATCCCACATCAATTTCTGATTGACCCTGCTCGAATTGTTAACTAAAAGAAATAAAAAAAAGATGTATTTTACGAGAAATATTGTACTTGTATAAAAATAATAAAATTCTGGTTAAAAATCTCATCGACAGTGTTGTCATGTTGTGTAATTTATAATATTTATCAGTAAGTAAATTACCATTCGAAGTATTGGGTGTTTCGTATGATGTGGTTGGTTCCCTCAATGGTTCTGGGGATGGTATTGGGGAATTTTGGGGATTGTTATTATAGGAGGATTGGGAAGATGGTAGAGGTGGAGGCGGAGAAGGATACCGTTGCGCTAAGCCAGCTATCGCCGTGGGCAACGCCAGCAGTTCATCTTCACTGCCGCTGCAGCTACTCTCTCCCGGTAGGCGGATTATTTTTCTCTTCCTCTTCCTCGTTGAGAGGGAGGAATGCCCTGTCCAGGACTCTACCTGGGAGAGGTTCTCGGCATCACTGAGATGATCCAACGCCGCATCGTACGATGCTAAAAAATAAATTTTATTAAAATATAAAAAAATTTTTCCTTAAATTGTCCTCCTTGTAATTGTCTCGTAAAAAAAATAACTTAAAAATAATTAAAAATAAAAAAATGGATTCGAAGAGATTCGAACCGAAGGCATGAGGAATACACGCATAAACTTAAAATTACGTAATTAAATTTAATTTATGAATAACTGTTTGAACTACAAGTTCAGAAAAATTTATTTGAACTCGAAGGGATAAAACAAAATTATTTTATTAACTATTGAAATAATTGTAGGAATTGAAAAAATACTTACAAAATTCCTTTAAAAATTTAATTTGGTATTCCAGCCAATTTTCTTGGGGAATTGCCGACGCCAAAACAAGTTTTTTTTTTGCAAATTTCGTTTTAACGTGTGGATATCTGCATACCTTCAGACTTTCAGAAATCCAACTTCTGGGTACCACATCTGGTGCGTCTCCCTCGTCCACAAACAATACAATTGCGTACTTCATTATTGAATAATCTATCTACAGGAAGTCAAAAATATTATATTATTTTCCACGCAAAATTAACAATGACCTTTTAAAAACGAAATATTCTCAAATCTTATTTCGAATAGTATAATTACTAAAATTATTGCAGTAAAGAACCAATATATTTAGTTCATGAATTTAAAAAAAACGAGGTAGAAAAAGTAATAAATTGTGACTTTTGTAAATCTCGTCGAACATCTGCCGAAATTGTTAAGAAACCCCATCAAGTGTGCCCATGTGTTTTCAAGTGCTTAAAAATATTCCTACACATTTAGGGTTTTATGAGGGTATTTTAAAATGTTGTTAGAAAAGATCTAGTATCTATCCAAAATAATTGTAAAAAAAAACTTTCACATTATATTTGTAGCAAATCTAAAAAAACGACTTTCCCATCAGTGAAATATCAGATATCAGAAATTGGAGAATGAAATAATTGTTGAGATAAATTAGAAACAAGGAAAATGTCAAATACTGAACTTTTAGCGAAAGGGTGGTCGAAAAAATTTTCAATTGTTTCGAATTTTTTGTACAAAACTACAGAATTTTGAAATTTCTTTGAATAAATAATATTTTGAACATTTACAATGGTTCCATTTTTTAAACAGCAATACGAATTTGGCGATGAAATTGAAATTTTAAAATTTGAAAATTGAATAGTCGAATACTGTATAGATGATATATCGCAATCGGAAAAAATTGGCCCGTTCGAATAAGGCCCTACTAATTGATTTTTGTATGCTTCAGTATTTGAAAACCAGTAATCTGCCTCTGACATTTCTGTCAGTCTATTAATTATTTGTTGTAGGGGTTGGGCACCTTTTCGAATGTGTCTTTTAAAAAATTGAAGACAGTTTTCGTACTTGAAAGTGCTACAGTTGTCAAGGCACCCATAAGTAGTAACGTCATCAGCAATATGGGCGAGAGCATGAAAATTATGTGTCAAATAATACGATCCGTAAAGATTTTCCGTTGTTTTAATAAAATGATGTAACAGATTTCTAGCATATTCTTGATAATTAGTGCAAAATTTCGGATTCAATAAAATGGCCATAGCAATTGATAGACTCATGAAATGATTATAAATTTCTAAACCGTTATTAAGAGACTGTAAAATTTCTTTTAAAAGAACGGGCCCTTGAAGAAGTAAGAAATGTCTATATTCAGTACCTTTCCACCTGTTTAATTCATTCAAACTACGACCCTTTCGGTTATATTCGTGTGGAATATATTTTGATAAAGAAATCATTCCAGAAGATATCTTATTGATGATCGCGGCTGGAAATTTACAGGGATGAGCAGGCCCGTTAACCCAAGTAAATAAAAGAGTTCGCATCACTCCAAGACAAACAACGTGAAGATAATCTAAAGGAACATTGGTAATACAATCGAAATCAGGGATGTTGTAATGTTCCTACCCTAATTAAATATAGATGGAAGCGATTACTTTAAATATTATTGTAACAAAAGAATATTCAATGACCGCAGACAACAACCTTAATCTTCATTATCCGAACCTTCTATTTGTTATTTGTATTTACATATACAGGGTGACCCAGGGTCGCGTTAAAGTCCCATAACTTTTTACCTAATTGAGATATCGACTTGATTTTTTTTTCAAAAGGTAGTGTAACGTTAAAATTTTACCCCTTCAATAAAACTACAAAAATAAAACGGTAAATATATATTTCGTTACTTAGGTGGATGACTTGAACATCCGGGCACGCGGCTACACTCAGATGAGACGGGAGTGAGTCAAAATTAAATGATATTTAGATATAAAACGGGCGCCAGTTAAGTTGACCAAGTGCCCTTAACAATATAATCTTATATCAACTCCCAACTTAACAAGGAATTGATAGTACACACTTTTCGTAACTCTATAGGTATTTAATTTAATACAATAGCGAAAGAAATAATAGAATACAATACAAAAAAAATTTAAGAGAAAATTAAGAAATAGAAAGATAATTATTAAGAAATTCCAAACAGTACGAGATAGCAGTCACGGTATAAATCAAATTCGACTTACCGATGGTGATCCGGTCAACCGGATGGTTCAAAGTAAAACGAAGTTCTGCGAAGTCAATATACTATAGCGATACAGCTGGGTCCTCCAATTGATCGATCAGTTGGGGTCCAGATCCAAAGGAATATCTATAATTCACAGAGTAATTACTAAACGGTAAAGGCGAGTCGAATTTTAGTTATTAACAAAAGAAAATTAATTAACTATCGTACTGAATTAGAACATGAATTTAACGACAACAAAATTGATACTATACGTGAAGATGAATTCAACAATAAGTAAAAGAACTTGAACTACGATAAATTAAATTTTAAATAAATGATTATAATAAAACTTCTCCGAAAACGGCGGACGGATCCCACGTGGTGAGGTTCCCAAGGTTCCTGGTGACGGTCTGGGTGTCACATAAGAGTCCAGATACTCGGGACAACAGGTGAACTTTGTCGAATCAACTATCGGTCGCAACTACAGGCGGTCAAAGTGACGCAGGAATCGGTCCCAGTCCAATCGGAAGACAGTTAAATACAAATAACCTCACGGAAGATCCAAGAAAATACGGATTGGAAAATTCAACCCAAAGTAATAGTAGTAATAAAAATTAATCCTAAGAAACACACAATTAACGATTGCAACAGGAAGGAAGACAAGACTTACCCCTAGTGTTCTAAGTCGGGGATCGAAACGTGGTTGATTTGGTCAAGAGGATATAGATCCCGAATAACGGATTTAACTCACGTTAACGCCAAAAATATACGGCAAATCAAATAGCACAAGGCTCCAAACAACTAACGAAGTTAAATATTTTCAGACAGACCGTAGAAAATCCGAGATGTTTCCCGATTACTAAAAATGTAATACCACGAGTCTGTCTGCCTCAAAGACCAAAATCAAAATGGAACCAGCGGAACCACGGAACAACCTAAATAACCCTTTAGAAGTGTCAATTACTCAGAACACTAATTCGTCAAGAACACAAAGACAAATGTCAATAACAATAAACAGAAGAATTTATTGTTGGACAAACGAACGTACTCGTAGAATCATTAACCTTAGTTATTCCAAAAGGTAAACAAATCTTCAATACAATCAATTAGTGAATTTAAAATGTGTAAAGGAATTAATGATTATTGTGGGGAGATTTTAGAACGTTACAGTAGGTACAATAATACTGCGTATTATTAAAATAGTTTCGTCTATATACAAGGTGGCTTAGTATTAGAAATTCACTAAAGTTACCTTTTTTTTAATGGAACCCCCTGTATATTATAACATTTTTGAATTCTTTAGTAAATTTTAGTGTGACCTTATGAACCATACATTGTACCTAAAACCAATCGTTTAGTGGCAATTCGACATTTTCGAAAAAAGTAGAGGTTTGAAAAAAAATAAATATTGCCGCTTTTGTAAAACTTAGAAGGTCGTGACTCTGGGTTAATAGTAAACATGAAATGTACTACTGTGTGACAGGGATTCAGAATTGAATACTGTTTGTGTTCTTAGATATCGATACGCGAATTTACAAAATTTCAATTAAAGGTAACTTGATTTTTTTAAATGAAACTACCTACTTTTTTGTACACCATCTTGTAGGAAATTTTATTGCCTTTCTAAAGATATAACATTGTCAATATTTTTACCTGCTAGTTTTCTTTTAATTCCGGAATTTCTTATAATTCCCGGTAATTTTTAATTTTCAATAGTACTGTTCAAACTCTATATAACTCTATATTTATCTATAGAGTTATAAAACACAAATTTTATAAAAGATAGTGAGTTATAAAAAAGTATACAGATCAATCAATCAACTACAATTTATTTGTAACAATTTATTTATTTTTAAGATATTGCCATTATGTTCGATGCATACATCTATACTTGGCGCGTTTGGAAGACGGAGTAATAAAAATGTCAGGCGGTTCCAAAATATCCCTACCCCTGTACGGCAAAATCCTGTACAATGATCGATTCGATCGATAGAAATTTCGCAGATCGCCTACAATTACTCAAAACCATTCACAGAGTATCAACTTTTAGGCCGGCCAATGGGGAGTGAGTGATATCGGCGACTCGTTTAATGTTTTTATTATTGTATGCGAATCGGCGTAATCATCATCAGTCTGTGAGTACAAATTATGCCAGTTTACCCCGACTTAAACGAAATCGACACACTAGGAAAAAATTCTTTAAAAGACCCTGATCAATCACAAAGTACCATGGCGACTAAAGTTTCCCTAGAAATCGCGAAAGACATGTTAATCAAATTTGACGGAACTAGGAATAAACTTTTTGAATTTATCGACAATTGCGATAAAGCGATATCAATGATAAAAATAGAACTCATACCCGTCTTATTCCCTTTGATTGAAACAAAATTAACCGGTAACGCGAGGGCTTTAGTACGTAACAGAAACTTTTCTGAATGGTCAGAGTTGAAATAGTTCCTATTAGACGCTTACGCTGAACGTCGAACCACAAGCCAATGGCAACTCGAGTTAAATTCTTGTCGTCAAAACCATAACGAACCTGTTCTTTCCTACGCCAGTAAAATAGAAAATTGTTATATTAAACTGATAAATAGTCTAAAACCCGACCTTGATAGAACTAGCAGATCTGCTTGCGTGGATCTACTAAAAGAACAAGCATTAAATGTATTCTTATGCGGATTGCAAAGGGAATTAAACATACTAGTTAAGTCACAGAACCCTTCTTCATTAGAAGAGGCCATTTCAATAGCCCAAAATGAAGAAGAAGAACAAAAGTCAAAATTCGAAATCTCAAAGTATCAAAATATAAACCAAACTTCTACAAAACACTGCACATACTGTGATAAGCCAGGTCATACAAATTTCAACTGCCGATTTAATAATAACAACAGGTTCCCCAGAAATGTAAGATTCGTTGACCAAGGTAACTCGAGCGGTCATTCTAATAATGTCAATAAGCCACAAGGTAATTATTCAAAACCCCAAAACTCCCCCAACGGTAATTTTCAAATCAAAATATGTAGATATTGTAAAAATAAGGGACACCTT